TCTAATTTGTCTGTTCGGGTGGACGTGAAAGATCACATGGCACTATTCAAAAAGAGGAGGTTTCTCTTAGTATCTTGGCCAACAATCCACAGATAAAAATTAGTGATTCACTTCACGGCTGTTTGTAAAGCATCTGCTGAGTGCCAATTGGCTGCTGTGTTTGCCTTTAAACAACACAGTGCTACACTGAGACATTCTCCCGACGTGAAAGGCACCCAATCAAATGCAATTATATCAAGGCAATGCCACCTGCTGAGCCCATATGGAACCATACAAAATGCAAATGTTTCACAAAAACAACAACTTGCATTTGTATAACACCCTTCATGTAGAATTTAATAATAATAATAATCCTTGCATTTGATCTAGCGCTTTTCATGTCTTCTCGACGTCTCAAAGTGCTTCACAGAATAGACTGTAAAGTGAATTGACCGTATATTCGTGGGCGAAACGCAGCAGCCAATTGTGCACAGCAGTGTCCCACAAACAGTCGTGGATTGAAAATGACCAATTTATTATTGTTTTGTTTTGGAGGGATTATTATTAGGCTCTGTGTGGAGTAAGAAAACTTGCCCAAGGTTTCGCACTGCCTGGAATTGAACCCAGGTGTCTCGCTTGCAAGGCAAGTGCTCCAACACTGAGCTACAGGACTCCACAAGTCTATTCTTCTCCACGAGAATAGCATCTTGGAGCTATGCAATAAGACTCCACGGATCTTACAGTTAATCACTAATAGTAATCTATATGATGATACCCTACTCTACCTCTCCGCCTATACCCTCAACTCCAGGACCTTTGATGTCCTCACAGACTGTCGGACATCAAATTCTGGATGAGTACTATCTTCCTCCAGTTGAATGTCAACAAGATCGATGCCCTCCTGCTTGGCTCCCGTTAGCGCCTCCATACCTTGGGCACTGATAGCATCGCCCTACACGGATGCGCTCTACGCCTCACGGAGACAATCCTGAACCTCAGCATCCTGTTCGACCCTCAACTGTCCTTCATCCCCCACATCCATGCCATGACCTGCTATACCTTTCCCCCACCTCAGCAACATTTTCCAGCTCCGCCACTGTCTCTCACTGCAGGCCATCGAGACTCTCATCCATGCATTCATCACATCCAGGCTCGACTACACAAACTCCCTGCTTGTCGGTCTCCCCAACTCGTCCCTCCACAGGCTGCAGATCAACCAGAACTCTGCTGTCCATGTCCTCTGGCACACCAGGCTCTGTGACCCTATCACTCCCATCCTCGCCCGACTCCACTGGCTCCCTATCACTCAGAGGAAAGAATTCTAGATCCTGTTCATCACCTTCAAAGTCCTCTACGGCCTTGTTCCTCCCTAACTCTGTGACCTCCTAACCTGTGACCTACCAACATGTCTACTCCGGCCTGCTTCATGTCCCCCGCCTTGGCCGCCCCATAATCCTCCTTCAGCCTTTCTGCCCCCACCGTCTGGACCTCCATCCCACAGTCTCTCCATCTAAACCCCCTCCCTTGCCTCCTTCAAGACCCATCTCAAAACCTTTTCTTCGACCGTGCCTTCGGTCACCCTCCTACCCCATCCTCCCTGCCCTCCACCTTTCCTGATCCCAGTTTGGGTACGGATCCTTGGGATGCCCTCCTAACGTGAAAGATGCTATATAAATGTAATTTGTTGTTGTTATTACCTTAAAATTCTACCATCCAAATACATTATTCAAACCTGGTCTGTTTCCCTCGACAGACTACCTTCCCATCCTCCCCTTACAGCCCCAACAGAAATCACTGCATCCACTGCAGGATTTGCACCCATCTCCACATCCTCCAATACCTTTCTCAGCAGGCACTTTTCTTTGGAAGGAGTTACACAGCCACACAGAATTAGCTACTTTTGTTGGAATTTGTTCCACATAACATCTCGACGGGGAAACAAATATCTAACCTTCAGTCCCTAATAACTACTGCCATGAAATGTATCTTAATGTTTGGTTTGTTTGCAAGGTAATTTGATTTCTTTTCAGCCAAATAGTCATTTCACACGGCCTCAGCAGGTCACTGAGCATTGCTAACAAGCAGTAGTAGCCTTTCTGTGAGTGCTCAATTGCATAGCAATAAGATAGTCGACAATAACTTGCATTTATATAAGTGCCCTTCATATAGAGTAATGTCTCGGAGCGCTTTGAAGATGAGATAGGTTTTTGAGATTATTTTGGAGACAGATAGAGAGGGGGCGATGTGGAGAAGTTAAAGGAAAGAGTTCCAGAGGATACGGGCATTGTGGTTGAAGGCTTGGTCACTGATAACAGGCAGTAGATGTGCAGCAAGCCCCAGTTTGCCAAGCAGAGGTGGTGAGTGGAAGACTAAGGTTGGAGAAGATGAGAGGTGATGGGTTGAGAAGGCTTGAAGGTAAGGTTGCAGATGAGGGCAAGGATCTTGAAGTCCAAGAGAACAACAACAACAACAACATTACATTTGTACAGCGCCTTTCATGTCGGGAGGACATCCCAAAGTGCTGAACAGTCAGTGTTTTGGACCTGAAGAGAAAGTGGAGGCTGGAGAGAATGGGGGTCATAGTGTTGGGCTGCGGATGTTTGGATGAGCTTGTGCATGGTGGACCAAGTGGATGGAGGAGCTGGGATATTCAATTACAAATATACATCGGATGGCATTCAAATTTACTTATCTGCCATTTTTAAGAGGTTAAAGGGTGATCCAAGTTCACTGTTTAAAATACAAAAAATTAAATTTTCAGAGTGCCATTCACAGCAGGAGGAAGTCCTAAATCATTGGAATATTTCCATTGCCTAGAAATGCAAGGATTTAAAACAACGAAAGGAATTGACAAGCTTGATGGTGAATGACTCTTCCCTCTGGTGGAGGGATCCAAAACAAGGGAGACCATTTTACAATTCCTCTTCCCTCTGGGATCTGAAACAAGGGAGGCAATCTTAAAACAAGGGCCAGAATAGTTAGAAAGGAGATCAGAAAACATTTTGTCACAAAAGAGTTGTGAAAATGTGGAATGCACTGCCCTAGAATGCTGTAGAGACAGAATCAATTGAGATGTTTAAAAGGGAGATAGATACTTGGTAAGTAAGAGAATTTAGGGGCATGGGGGAAAGGCGGGGAAATGGGATAAAAAAGATCTGCCATTATGGAATAAACTGGCAGAGCAGGCTCGACAGGCTGGATAGCATCCTCCTTTAGTCCCAAGTTAGAGAGTTAGTAAGCCTTTTACACAAGCCATATCATCCTACATCCAATGCAATGGTATCACAATGTAGTCTTGAGCTTTCTTTCTTACACGTTTAGTTGTAGTAGCAGAAAGGTGGACGTGCCACACATCATTAATTGACAGATTGCTACTCCCCATTCCATCACTGCTGTGCCAGCCTGGCATGAAATGTTCTTACACAGCGGCCCTATCACTATCAATCACCAAGCCAGCTACAACCAAGTCACTTCACTAACTTTTATACATTGTTTGCATTTCCTTGCTTTGGTCATCATAGAGAAAGGAGAATGGGCATCTGCCGAAGCCAGTACTGAGGGTCACAGAATCGCTTGGTCGGTGTCTGAACCAATGCTTATTTCCCTTTGCTCTGCAGTTTTAACTAAACCAGAATTTTAAAATCATTGTATCCCACACAATAGAGAGAAAACATAATAATAATCCTTACAATCACAACAAATTGCATTTATATAGTGCCTTCCATGTCGGGAGGATGTCCCAAAGCACTTCACTGGATATCCTGTAAAGTGGCATGACTGTGTGTGTTTTGTGGGCGAACATGTACAGCCATTACAACTAAGTAAGGACGTTGAGCATGTCATGATACACACATCAATGATTTGTTGGGTCAATATTTCCCCTCGCCTACCTTGATCATTATGGCACTGTGTAGAAACTCAGTTTAAAAAAAGACATTCAGACCAGAACTGCAATGATACTCCAGCATTTTGTTCACACACTTACCCAATCTAGATTGAATTAATTTAGGATCTCACTTCTGCATTGTATACACTTTGCTTATCCAACTCCTTACTTGTAGAGTACACGTGCCTGATGTGTGGACACAGCACACTGGCTCTACTGTACGGATCCCCACTGCGAGCAGATTCCACAGCTGAGATCAAACGTAAACGTGGCAATAAAATAACAATACAATTAAGTTCTATCTTTAAATAGATTTTAAATCCCTTAACACTATGGCAGTACTATGGTGCATGGTACTGAGGCATCATGAAGTGGTTGGAAGGAAGAAGATTGAATCCTCCAAGTCCATTCACTTTCTGATCTGCCCAGAGTGTTGGCACATGGACACAAGGAGCGGTGGCCAGCATGGGAACCTCGTGGAGGAGTGTCAGCGCTGGTAACATTGCTGCCAACTCCGCACAGCATTGTCTAAAGCCTGGGAGCTCATTTGTCTGGAAAATATACAAGTCCCAGGAGAAGCACAGCGAGAGTAAAATAACAGGAACATTTTAAAATATTAAAATGAACACTGAATATACTAATAACTGATCCTCTGCTTGCCAAGATTGAACAAGCAGCTATTTAGTGCTTTTGCCTGAGCTTTCTCAATAACCTTTTATGAGAATCCTCCCAGAGTCATCAAATGCAATGTTACTTCCAATGCCACACTCTTTCAGTGATATGCTGAGCATTACCTATAGCTGGTGGGAAGGGCTAACATGCTTGACAGATAGTGCTCAGGGACCATATCTCACCACCCAACGAGACCATGAGAAACAGAATGACCTAGAGTGATATGGCTTGGAAACAGGACATACTGCCCAACTTTATACCGTTTACATGAACTCTCACCCCTCCTAGTCCTTTACCCCTCTGACTCATGTAATCTTTGCATGGAAAAAACTTTCCTCAGCAGCCATGTGATAATAACCTGCTGATCTTCATAAGCTCAACTTCTATCGTGCTATTTTTTCCCACACGATCTGATTATGTAACAAGTGTCCCACATATCCGTCGGGTTAAAAGGTTTCCTTACCTGAGGCAGGTGAAGCTGAAGACCTTCGCTGGGAATTGGTTGGCGTGATGGGGTAGAGTCCAGCTGCATGTTAAACAGGGTCTGTAGAGCGGCCTGAGCAGCCCTCGCTTTGGACAGCTTCTTGTTCCTCCCTGACCCTTCAAACGTCTGTCCATCCACGATCACCGCCATGATGAAATTTTTGGCATGGCTCTCCCCACTCTCTGAGACAAACTCGTACTTGAGTCCTGGTCGTAACTCGTTCAGTATCATCACTGGGTTTTTCCCACTGTTCATGGCAAAAGGAGAGGGTGCAGTCAAGGCTGACTGACCTAAACTGATTGCTCCAGTGCCAGAGGAGAGACCAAGAGAATTGTAGTCTCCTGATGAATTGAAAGAACCGTTTCCATTTGATCCCAAGAGATAAGGATCATCTCCTGCTTCTTGGTTTTCAAATCCATTGAAAAGTGTATCTGGAAAGTCAGAGTGATCTGACGTGAAGTCCGTATTCACATTCAGCATTCGACCCATTGCTAAGTGTGCCTCAGAGGCATTTGGAAACTGAACAAAAGATCGTAGTGCTTTCTCAGCGACGTGCAACTTAGCTTTCTTCTTGGTTGGACCAGAACCTTCAAAGGTCTGTCCATTGACCTCCACAGCCATTAAGAAGACAGGAGCATGGACTGGCCCAGACTGAGAAAGCAGCTTGTACTGCAGGCCAGGCTTGATCTCATTCAATTGCATCAACGCATTCTTAGGCAGAATGGGGCCTGGCGTTTTCTTCCTCTTCTTGGCTCGGAACTTAGGATGCGAATGCCCATTGCTGCCCTCCTCCAATGGCCGCTTTCTGTTAATGGAGGAATTGCTGCCATTTGAGATCTGGGTCTCTCCGGGAGTCTGACTGCTTTCCTTAAGAGAGACGTTTTCCACATTACGGTTCTCTTTGACCTCTGTGCTGCTTGAACCTGCGGTGCCCAGAAAGAGTAACTTACAACGCCTTCGTTGCAGGATCTTGTAAATGTAAAATTTAGAGATTCCTCATCTGTCTTTGTAACAGAACAAGTGATGTGTTTCAGTTTCATATCAGAATGGGAGAGATTTAGATTCATGCCAATGACAGAACTGGACAAAATAAGTTATAATTTTTTTAAAATAAAAGAAAAGGGGGGACATAAAAATCTCAATAAATAGCCCAAAGCAGCCCTAAATGTTAATGAATACCCAGAGTAAAGTTTAGAAATTCCTTATGTCAGAGTTCAGTGACTGAACAACACTAAAATACAGTATTCTGTACTGTGGCTTTCTTTACACCAAACTACAACTCGAATAGATTTTTGGGGGGGAATATTTGTTTTTCCTTCATTTCCATGTGAAAGATAGCTAACATGTCAGTACTGGAAAAGATGCTAAATCTACGGTCATCCCACTCTTCTCTATTCACCTTTCCCATTATTTTATTCTGGTTTCCTTCTTACGATGCTTCATTGTCACACTGTGTGATAACAGGTAGGGTAGACATGTCACCTTTCTCTGGATCTCTGCCAAGCTGACTCTGTGAATCACCAGCAGGTGTGAGCAAGATTGGTTTGCCTCACCCTGTGCTCTTAACCGCCTCCTGACAGTGAACTGCCTCCCAGTGTGGGAAATTCCAGGTGCAAACGTGTATGCTGCCACAGAAAGAGATGCTTGTTCCTTTTGTAGATATTGATGCTAAACTTTGCCACCCTCTGATTTCTCACAAATTGTACTCCAACATCAAATTATGGTTGGAGGAATCGGCTTCAATAAGCAATTGCTTATTTCATTTCCTTCATTTCCACCATCAGCAGGTGGGCTTTCAGCCTTTCTAACCCCACTCCTTGGAACTCCATCCCGGAGTCCCTCCAGCTCACTCCATCCCTCAACTTTTTCAAGGTCCATCTCAAGACAATATCTCTTTGACCGTGCCTTCAGTCAGCTTCCTCAGCCGCCCACCCCTACGGTTGCCAATCCTAGGTTTGGGTGCTATTCGGGACGTCCTCCCCATACAGAAGGTGCTATATAAATTTAAATTTGTATTGTATGAGAAATTTAAAAACTCTTTCCCCAAACAGAATCTTCTATCGTAACACTGCATTTGAATGCTAGGACACATTTATTTATTATAATGTGCTCTTTTACTTGAAAACCACTGCTTTTGGGGTACATAATCCACAGAACTGGAGAACATGACTGGGACTTGGACCACAGAACCAAAACATGGTATTGTGCCATTTGATTTTTTAAATATGTAAATTGAACATTGGGTTTATGTCTGCAGACTATGTTGCTCTTTACATAGCAAACGGAGATCATCTTATATAATACCATCAGTTATTAGGTGGGAGCAAATAGTCGCCCACTTTTTGCCCGTGCAAGTGTGTGCTGGGCAACTATTGTGAGGGTGGGCTTCTCACACACATCACCTCATTCCATTCACAAAGTTGATGAAATACTCGTCAAATTTTCATTTATAACATCCTTCAGCAAAAGGTCCATAGGTTACTCCTTTGGAGCTCAGAAAAATATCTGTAATACCAGAGTGGGAATTCCTGACAGCAGACAGACAGACAGAAGAGAAGCAAAGAGGGATGAAATAGATGAACGAACATTGAGGGAAAAAGAAAAAACACAAATCAGATCAACTTTCCTTCACAACAGTCAATTTAGCCACTTATCCAACAGATATGGATTTAATTCTGTCCCCTTTAACCATGTGAGCACATGCATGTACACTCATGGGTATTAGATATTTGAAAGTTACTATTGATGAACTGGACACTGGATTTCCCCACTACCCTCAAAAATGAAGACAAAACCTTGATAGCACCAAACAAAAGATGCTACAACGCTGCAGTTTAATTGTCAAAAGGTTACAATTTTGTGCTGCAAAATTCTATTGGCAACTTGAAAATATTGCGCATACAAAACTGTTTCATCAAATCATTGAACGTCATACAATACAGTAAGTAGATATGAGACGTCTGCTTACAAACATAGATCTGGAATAGATGTGAGTTTAGGGATTTGCTCTTCAGTCACAACGAGACACATGTCTGCAGCAACCCAGTTTGGGTGCAAACCTTAGACTATCCAGCACCTTGCGAGGTCCTCCCAACTTGAAAGGTGGTATATAAATGTAAATTTGTATTGTATCGTAATATGAAGTAAGAGCTGTTGAGATATTCTGTGCAGAGTGAATCTTTCACCAAAGAACAGTTTACTTACTGAGAACAAGTGAGGGAATTTCCAGATTCACTCAACCTCAAAATATTGGAAATGTATGGTCAATAATGGCAACAGGAAACTCAACTACAAATACAGGATGTCAAAAATTGGGGTTGACAACAACAGACAAAGCTCAACTTGTAACTGGGAACATAAAAATGAGAAACATGACTATTATTTGATAGCCAAATCAAACCTAAGCCCTGGATAACAAAAATGAATACAGTGCACAGGATTTCAGTAAACATGTACACAGGAATGGATAAGGTGAGGGGTTACCTTTGAGGAGGGTAAGTTAGTACTCATCATTTTCAATGAAAACTGAAAATTGCATGTGACAGTTGAATGTTGACATTCAACCTGAATTGAGTCACCATTGTACACATGAAAAACATCTGGGGCATTATCTCATCAAAATATTGGCCCCATTTGGTCAGATGCCTTCCCCCTTCCTCCCCCCACCCCCAATATCAGTTCTTGACTGCAGGAGAGACAAAATATGTATGAAGTTTAATACATGCAGCAGTCGCCCACCCGGCCTCTCTGTCCCCATCCTTTGGAACTTCATCCCACATTCCCTCTCCTCACATTCCCCTTGCCTCTTTCAAGACACGTCTCAAGACCCTCCTCTTCAACTGCACCTTCGGCCACTCTCCCTGATCCTAAACCCCAGTTCGGGTACAAATCCCTAATTGTCCAGCGCCTTGGGACATCCTCCCGACGTGAAAGCCACCATACAAATGCAATGACGGAAGCACTCCAAGGTGCACCAGGTCTGAAATAGAACTTTGAGGCAAGAAGGCAGCAAGCTGAAATAAACATAAAAGCTTGAAGGAAAACGATACATAGAAATTAGCATTTAATTTGTTCAACTACCACATGCATTGCATTACACGAAATAAATGTACTGGAGGCAGCAAATTATCTCCCAAGGTTAAAGCCAGTTTGCAGCAAGCAATGCTCTAGCATTTGTCAATTTTGGCTGTCATATCAATTTGGTGAGAGAGAGGTGCAATCTCAAGTCATATTGAAAGGGAACACTCCGCCCATGTTGACATGCTTACTGAATGACAGACAGGGAGAAAATAGATAGAATGAGTGTTTTATACCTGATGGGAGAATGTTTGACAAAATGAATACCCACTCTGGCAAGATATTAAAGGAAAAGACCCAGATATGAAAGAATTTAGTCTTCAAAAGGCCAGACAAAATTAACTTCCTACTTTTGAAAACAAAAAGCTCATTTTAAAAATAAATCAGAAGCACGTTCACTCTGTAATACAAGATTGATTTGTTCTGAATCACTGTCCAAGTAACAATGGTCTCTGGAGGTATCTAAAGACCATTAGAAATCTGTGATTTTCAGCAGTGATATTAGCCAGTGCAAAAGGCAAGTCTGAAATCACAAAAGCCCATAGAGACGGTAGAGGCAGCATCATTTGAACGGGATGTTTAACAGCAAAATGGCTATCTTCACAGAGAGAGAGAGAGAGAGAGAGAAGAGGTATTGCTTATCCAGACTGGTAGAAGCCCTAATCATTTTCAAATCGCAGAGTTTGACAGCTGCAGGATCTCAGTCAAAAAATTATGAACATTGCACATTGTTTTGTTTTAGAAAACTTTGTTTTAGAAGGTGCAGTTTCACAGCTCCATCACATGTTATAGTAATACCTTGCACTTCTTTATAGATCTATAAGCGTGTGAAGGAGCCTGGAATTGTGCTGACAAATTATAAGAAAAATGTTACAAATTATAGGTTTGTGCAGGGTAAGAACAAAAAAGGGACTTCAGAGAGCCATTTCTGTTCTAGTAAAGTGATGCCCTTTAAAAGTACAATTGCTGCTTTGGTTCAATAATGAATATCTGTTGTCACAACTCTGGACAAATACAACAACAACAAAATTACATTTGTATAGCGTCTTTCACGTCGAGAGGACGTCCCAAGGCGCTGGACAGACAGAGTTACAGACCAGAGCTGGAGGTCGGGATCAGGGAGGGTGGACGGAAGCAGGGAGATCAAAAGCACGGTCAAAAAGGAGGGTCTTGAGATGGGTGGCAAGGGAAGGGGTGAGGTGGAGGGACAAAGTGGCAGAATGGCAGGATGGGGGCAAAGTGGCAGAAGGCCCGTCCAACAATAGTGGAGCGAGCGAGGCAGGGTACGTGAAGCAGGTCGGAGCCTGCTGAGCGGAGGGAGCGGGCAGGATGGTAGAGGGTTAGCAGGAGCAAGCAAGTTATTACAAATCAACAGCAAACCAAGGTTAAGGAAGCTACTTGAAAATACTAGGGAATCAATTGCATTGTACCTCAGCCCTGCCTCAGCAAAACCTGCATGGAGTAGCGAAGCCTTAATGACAACTGACAAATAAAGGCAATAATATAAGAGATGATAACTGCTTTACTGAATCGAGATGAGACAATTCTAAACTGCAGCCATGATTTCAAAGTTCAAAGAAAAATGTAATGCTGCAAGTCAAATAAACGGGAAATACGTATCAAGCCAATCGGCATCTGATCTAAATTAGTGAAGGAAGAGCCTGCAAAATTCAACGAAAGGTGTAAACAATGCATAAAGTTCGTAGGAAGTGGAACTGGTCTGGCCTTAAAAACAGTTAGTAAGAAAACAGCAATAAGAGTCAGATACAAAGCTTTTATACAATATTCAGCTGAAAGAATTTAGCACTAGTAGAGAACCACATTTTTGTACTGATCAAAGTTCACTGTAGACCTGCAGAGATAAATCAGACAGGCTCGGCTTCGAAGTTTCATTACTTACACTGTAAAGAAGGATGTACATTAGAAAATGACAGGGCATCTTAACACCAACGAGCAGTAACAATAGGAAAGAAAGGGCTTAAAAAACAGACACAGTTGTGATCAGGATGTTAGAAGGAGAACATGACCATCACTGAAAACGATGGAAATAGTTGGACATGGTTAGGTAACCAAGTTTTCTACTAGTTAGTAATTTCTGGGGGCAGCAGTTTTCTTAGTTATGTTGGTTTGACAAATTCACTTGGAACACACTGTCATCAATTTGAAAATAGAGCAATGCTCGATGGGGAAGAAAATTAACAATTAAACATGGTTCTGAATACTCCGGCTGCCACCCAGAACAGAAACTACCACTTATTGTAACCATGTAAAAGTAAGAGTGGAAATTGGTAAAATTGATACAGAAAAAACAGAAGGTTAGTGGTTGCACACATTTTTATTACATGCCCCTTTCATCTCAAGGGAAGCTGTAGAAAAGGTCCCATCTGATGAGCATTATAAGACTATCTCAATAAATGAATAGGGAGGTAGTCATTGTCCAATACCCACTGTCTTGTTCAATGTGGCCACAAATCATCTCAGCCAAGGGATGAGAGGCAATGGTGTAGGACATTGAACAGGTCAAGAGAAAGAATTGGAGAATATTTTTGAAAGGCTCAGTGTTCAATAGCGGGAATCATTACTGTAGAAAACCAGAATGTCTTTTAAACGCGTCTTGCTGAATTGGTGGTCTGAACTGATATGTAGCATAAGCTTCCTGTCACTTTGCTTCCTGTTTTAGATACACACTGTTTTGTGACAGAGAAAACCATGTAACCAACAAACTTTGTCCACCATGATTCTCTGACTGACCTGGATGATTGGATTTTTGATTTTCCCTCTTTCCACCGCTACCTTTCACCCAACAGTCCAACTGACAAAGAGTTCTGTGCAGGAAAACTTTATTGGTAGAAAGTCTGTCCTGCAATTCTATCACCAGAGAGCCCCCTGACAACCCTACACATCCTCTCTGACCTACTATGGAACCTCAGACTAGATTTAACTGTGTCACCTCAACATTATTTGTGACCTTGCATTGACTGGATACATAAACAGAACAGAGCTGGAGAGGGAACTCACATGGCCCAAAGCTTATAACCCTGTTCCAGTTGAATATAGATGGATAGGTGAATGTGGTGTTTTTTTTTGAGAAGCTAGATTGGAGAAGGGTGCTCAATTGTGATTCGAAGGTACTTTTAAATTTAATCTCAATTCATTTATCCTTGTATTCATACATAGGGACAGACCAATGTGCAAATTATTTCACAGGTACCCCTTTGTGGATACCATGTAAAATCTCCAAATGGGGGTGGTGCGGGAAAGAGAGCAAGTAATATAAGTGATACAGGAGTCCTGTAGCTCAGTGGTTAGAGCACTCGCCTGGCAAGTGAGAGACCTGGGTTCTATTCCGGGCAGGCCAAAATGTTGGGCAAGTTTCCTTACTCCACATGCCTCTGTTTACCAAACTCCTTTGGATCCCACTTTTTGGTGGTTGATGTGATAAGTATGACGAGTGGTAACACCACACGTTGAAATACCATCCCACCCCCCTCCCCTCGACTCCCCACTGTGTGAAAGTAAAGTTAAATCTTAACGTCGCAAACACTGGGGAAAGAGCAAGAGCACATTGATCAGCCAAGCAGATCCACAGGCCCACATAGCTCCAAGGTTTGGACATGTAATATTAAGTGGCGGTAGCATCAAGTCACTGCTCAGAATCTGAAGTGCTCAGCTTTCTTACTCATGTTTTCACCGTCCTCATCATCGACGTCCAGGGTAAAATATTTCTGCTGGCTTCTTAACTGCCGATAGCCAAGCGATTTATCTGAAAGAGATGAAAAAGAAATGATCTGAATTTCTTTGCTGAACAGTCCACTTTCATATTAAACAGCAGGACTTGGAGAGAAGATTAAGCCGAGGTATTCAGTGGGCTTTACTTGTGTAAAGGGACAAGGAATCCTTCAGGTATGTGAGCCAAAGGGGGGGACAAGGAGAAATAGTTCTAAATGTGTGGGGAAAAAAGAATCAAGCCTGTATGTATACACTAACCGGGGCGGGGGGGGGGGGGGGGGGGGGGGAGGGGGTGTGTGGTTGGGGTTAAGGCTAGAGAGTTTCCTCCCTTTCCCCTTTCATAACACCTTTATACTGGGTGTCCACAAAGTCATGTAAAGTCTCTCTTGTTTTTCTCTCTGCACTGACCAAACAATGAAACACATGGAAGAACGGTGCTAATTGTGTTTAAAAGTACATGTAGAGTCCTGTAGCTCAGTGGTTAGAGCGCTCGCCTTGCAAGCAAGACCTGGGTTTGATTCCCGACAAGTTTCCTTACTCCACATACACGCCACTGTTTACCTAGCAGTAAGTAGGAACCTGGTTGTTAGTTGATTGGCGGATTGCTTTGCAGGGGTAATAATCCCTCCAACAGAAATAAAAATAATAATAATTTGGTCACTTAATCCACAACTGTGCATTGGACACTGCTGTGTGCAATTGGCTGCCACATTTCGCCCACAGTATATCCTGTGAAGTGTTTTGAGACTCTCGATGACGTGATAAGGTGCTATATCAAATGCGAGGATTATTATTAGGAAGGAATTGTATGTGCGGGGAGTGAATAAAGCATTTTGTATTCATATTAAACTTAAACCTAGTAGTAATATTAATCCTTACAATTGAAATTGCGCCTTTCATGTCGGGAAAAAGTCTCAAAGAACTTCATAAGATACGCTGTAAAGTGCAGTGACTGTTTTGTCGGTGAACCAAACCTGGCAAATAAATTCTTTAAATCTTACAAAGGTAAGAAAAAGCACAGCTGTGGCCTTCTCAGGCTGTACTCAATTACTCGGCCCTTCCAGAAACAGAACATTTACGGCTTATGGAGGGAGCGGGTGGGCCAGATGAAATGGGGGGGGGGGGGGTTGGCTGGATGAAATTGGCCCAGCGGATGCGGCCCCCAAGATGCTAGTTCAACCACCCTGTACTAGATAATCTGAATTTAGAACACAAACCACGCCACATGCAATAGTAACACATATAATAATAATTCTTGCATTTAATAGAGAGCCTTTTGAGACGTCTCAAAGTGCTTCACAGAATGTACTGTAAAGTGAATTGATGTGTATTTTGTGGGAGAAACACACCCAGTATTGTCCCAGAAACAGTCATGGATTGAATGATCAAATTTTTATTATTAATATATTTATAGAGGTGAATAGTGGGTAAATTTCAAATGTATTCAAGCAACTGAGGATTGTGGTTTGAGGATTTGGACTTTTAGTCAAGTATTCGGGTGAGACACAGGAAGACTGGAGCCCACAATATTTTTTGGGGGTGGGAGAGGAGAAACAGACAGAGTTCAGAGAAATGGGTGTCAAGTTCAAATCAATCGCAACCTGAATGTGTTTCATGTGAATTAATAGCTCTAAGGTATTATTTATATCTTCAGCACCTTTATTTAGGCTGTATTTGAATATAGATCAAAGTGATGAAGAGACAGTGTTCCAACACACTATGGTTTAGTGTAGTTCTTGTCACACTGAAACCTTCACGTAATGTACACCAGGAATGTTTAGTGGGGGGGCCGATAGGAATATTCATACGAATGCCTTGTGTTAAACTGGATTTCAATTCTTGCAGAGAAAACCAGGGCAACTTCAAACGGCAAAGAGGGCACCACTGCGCTGAGTGAGGGCAGCAAAATGAGAAGAAATGGAATCTTTGAAGCGTGTCACGTGAAGCAACCAAAGTATCGGGTTCCAATCACTTCATTTTAAGCTATTTTCTTTCCCCACACAAAGGAACGATTAAATAGAACCACAAGATAAATATTATCTTCAGACAGCATGCGACAATTGGGCCGACACAGGAGATATTCGGGAGAAAAATGAGAATGCTTTGATATACGAGGAAGCTCTCTTTAACCGCAGTATCTTTACTCAGCACATGTTGAAGCGGGGAAGGGAGAGAAAGAGAGAGAGAAAAAGAAAAATAATTCTGGAGCACAGTAAAAATAACTTGGTATCCAAATGAATATTTAAGATAAGCAATGCCTGAAACTGTGGCAAGAGGTGGCAGAGACCAGCAAGGGGTCTCAAAAACTGGGAATTTTTCTCAACACGGCTCCCCTTTAATTAAAAATATTTAAATCAAATCTCTGAATTTTCCACACTGGCCGGACCTATGTTGACTGGCTGGTGGGTTCAGAGGCTGAAGGCAGCCCAAGACCTGCTGTGTAAACAGCTCCTCTAAACAACTCACAAGCGTTATTCAGAGCAGGAGGAGGTTTAAAATGACATAAAACATTGCAGTACCAAAAGCTGTGTGCATGCCTGGTAACACTTGCTGTGTTTGGCAGCTGCCCAGCACTTGAGTGATCAGTCTCCTGTCCTCGTGTCTCAGTTTGCCAACTCAGGCCAATGGAGGGTTCCTCTCTGTTGCTTTTATATTAAAATACAAATCCACAGCAGCAGCAGCATGGCAGATAAATTACCAATTGGGACAGACTACTGTGGGCCTTATGCCAATGTACATGCATTCTCAGTCCTGCACTGGTTCCAGGAGAAATTATCGCTTACATTTCACTAATCTGTACAGTCAGTGTGTGAGATTGGGACCTGTTAGGTGTTCTCTGATCTATACAAATTAATTGATTAGTATAGGGACCACACTCATATATTAGTCTTGTCCCATTGTATCAAACATTCACTAGTATTGACATAAGAAAATATCACCAATAGTCAATCAACTCATAAATAGAGCCCCTCCTCAAGCAAATGTACAATGCTCTTGCTGAGGCAATTGCTCAGACTGCTCGCTGCCACGACTCCCTGCCTCTGAGATCCTACTCCAATCACAGACGCTGCCTAAACCACCTACTTTAGGAGTCCTGTAGCTCAGTGGTTAGAGCACTCGCTTTGCAAGTGAGAAACCTGAGTTCAATTCCAGGCAGGTCAGGGCGAAACCTTGGGCAAGTTTTCTTACTCCACACAGAGCCTAATAATAATCCCTCCAAAACAAAAAACAATAATAAATTGGTCATTTTCAATCTACGACTGTTTGTGGGACATTGCTGTGCGCAATTGGCTGCCGCGTTCGCCCACAAATATACAGTCAATTCACTTTACAGTCTATTCTGTGAAGCGCTTTGGGACGTCCTCCCGACGTGAAAAGCGCTATATCAAATGCAAGGATTATTATTATTACTTCTGAGACTGTTTGCCAAACCTGTCCAAGGTGACCATTGCCATGTTGTGTATTTCCCTATAGACTAGGCTAGTAATCCCAATTCAGCTAAAATGGCACCACCATGTCAATTTTTATACGGATAGGGTAATGTCTCAGAGCACTTTTCAGAACAGGGCAGGACTCTGAGGTAAGGGAGGGGAGCGAGGTGACCAAAAGCATGTTTGAAGAAGTAGAATTTGAGGTGAGACTTGAAGACAGCGAGAGAAGCTGAGATGGAATGGTTGAGGGAGGGAGTTCCAGAGGTGAGAGATTGAAGTTGGGGAATGCACAGCAAGCCTGAGTTAGTATAGGAGGCAATAGGGTAAAAAAAAATCAGAGAGATAGGGAGGTACCAGGGAGTTTTTGGATTTGTAATAACCACCCTACCATGCTCCCACCACAGCATTGAGCTGAAATGCGTCCACCATCCTGGCCTCAACCTAAATCCTGTCCCCTTCCTGGTAGTGGTTAATTATCCTCTGGGTAAAGAAATACTTCCTGGTGTCTGTCATTTGCAACTCTTAAACCTGTGGCCTCTTGTTCTGCTATGCCAGTGCATCTAAACGTAATTTTGTGAGTTGACTTTCACAACTCTAAGTTAAATCCTAGTTAAAATCTGCTGCAACTAATTACCCCTCTGGCCCATCTTAAAAACAGTTTCATGCAAATTTTGTTGCAATTACAAATGGAGCACACAGAGACAGGTAAGTTCTTACACCAATGAGCACCAAGAAACTCCTCAAACCTATAAAAGATCAAGACAACTAAAGATCTCCTGACCGGACACGGTTACTTTTAACAATCCCTGAGCCTCAAATAGTTCCTCTAATGAGCAGCTGGGACTCAAGTCAGACTGTCCACATGCCAATTACTGTCTGCTCTTCTGTCAGCTGAAAAACTAGTCCTCATCCCAATCAAGCTGTTCTGTAAGGGGAGTGAGGGGATAAAGCAGAGGGATTGAGGGAGAGTGTTCCAGAGTGACACAAACACTGAACGTTCAGAACCACCTTCTGTACTCTTCCCAATGCAAACCATGCACACATTGAGAGCTGTGCAGTTAATATCCATCACAACACAACACAAGTCGTGCCCCACAGAACCTCTACAGTGAGGAGCCATCTCAACACAGGGTGTGTGCCCACTGAGAACTGTGCCTTCGACAAACACCATCCCAATTTATACAAAGAGTATCTGAATGGTCTTGTTCACTCTGAAGTTTGCCAGATCATGGGCATGTACGTTCAGATTGCTTGTTCAGTTTATAACACAGCAAATCATTACATTACACAGTTTTCAGGGCAGTTTCCTTTCCCTCAGGACTGAAAATTCAAATCTAACCCAGAGAGATAAATGGTCAGATTTTTGAGCAACATTTATTTTAGCTCAGTGAATTACCACCAAGGCAGTGTTGGGGAAAAAAACATAGAATTAGCATAGAATGACCAGATAATTTACGGTGAAGCTGCAATAAGTTACAGTCAGCATTTTAAGTGGGAGAGAATTTCTGACCTAGTAGGCGCGTCATCACATACTCCATCTGTATCACACACATTGGCCCAAGTCAAATTAAATGACACCACTCTGCTGTAAATCGATCCATTA